GGAATCGAGGGTCAAAACACGTGTCTCGAAAGCCTTGATGACATTCTGATTTACCTGTATAATTAACAAACTACCAAGCAATGCTTAACGTGTGTGGTTTTACACAAACGACGTCTGTATCGGCAACAAAAACAACATTCGCAGGGTAAAGTACATTCAGAGCTTAGAATTGCGCATTTAACATAACTAGTAAAAAGTACTTTTGAACATTTTCCATCAGGAATATCGTGTGAGCACCTGACCATAAAACTATAGGATATTTGTAAATGTTATATACTGCGTCGCCGTCTCAAAAAAAATACAATTCGGTGCAGTCTCTCGAACGGAGTTCCTAGACGGAGGTCCCAGCCAGTTTTGATAGAGGAAATCCCACTCTGCTTATTCATAACCTGGAGCGGCAAATAAGTAGGGGAAAACGGAAAAGCATAACAGAACAAGCAAGCAAACAGGCACGTCATCTCCGACTGTCACCACGACCAACAACGCGGAGAAAATAGCAAAACTACTCATTAACGTCGTTCACGCCGGCCGCTCCAGCTCTCCAAACCGCTTTCTGACTTCCTAACTAGAATGCTTTCCAGTAAAATACTCGCGCACTAAATCAGCAGAACACAGCAGCTGACTTTACCCATTCAAAACACGTATGCGCCACTCGCTCACTCAAACACAAGACACTTACAATGTTACAATAATCCTGCCTAATTACCCTCGCCTCCCGAAACAGACATTAAAAAAGTACAAGGCGTCCTTACTCGCGAGGAGGAAAGCAGAGCGTGAGTCCTGCCAGCTTACTACTTTACTTTCTGGGATGATGCTCTACGTGAAGCTCCAGGTAGGGTAGCCCCGCTGGAGGTATTGACCTGACGGGAGCGGGATGAGTGGAAGAGAAAAGGAGGGGACAGGGGGAGGGACAGGGACACGGGGAAATGGGAAGGGAGGGGGGGGGGGTAGCCACACCAACTACGGGTCAATATCAGCAGCAACAGATGACAAGGCTTGGAAAACGTTCTGCTTAAGCTCAGTTTGTTTGTTTGCGTCGGGGGGGAAATTGGGACTGGAGTCTGGGGCGTACTCCCCATGCGCTAAAATCTTCTACTAGTCAGTTTTACCGTAAATACATCAACTGAGTGTAAGAAACAAAAGGGCAGTGTAAAAGCTAATTGTTACTCCCCGGCCTCAAACTCTATTAAGAAATAATAAAACAAACATCTAATCTTAACGACTTCAAAGCGGCTGCCGCACGGTCTTCAAACTAGCCCCGAGCAGGCTTTCCAGCCGAGCCTTTCCTTTTAAAAGATCACGTCGCGCTATAAAAGCTAAATATCCAAACATCTGGAAGAAAGAAACTGCATTTCTACCCTTTACCCGGACTAGGCAACTTGCGGCTCGACAAAAACGTTGAGGCGCTGTCAAGGCTACATTCTTCCAGCCATGTGTCCTAGGCCAAGCCAGTGCTACTCGCTGGCAACTAGCAGGAACGCCAGTCAATTGGCTGGTAGGTGGTCCGTCCCATGTCCCAGGTGAGGTCGAGGGGCAAACACACGCACTCCCGTACGATCAATAGTGGCGGCTGCCAGGATAGTAGGGAATGGGATGGAGTTATCTGGGACTTTCATAGGATCTAATTTCGCCACCCACGGGGGGGAAGCTCTCGGCATTAATGCTCTCGATACTAACCAGCCGCCTACAATAATACTCAACCACAGCTTGTTTTGATGAAGAGAATAAGTCATAAATCCCACTCCACAGCCGAGAAGGGCTTGCCCTCACGCCAGGCACGGACGGAGAAACTAGTTACAATAGCCCACTGGATTAGCTGGGAAGGGGAAACACAGCAAATATAGCAAGGCGCTTTCGTGGAGGGGAGAAAGCAATTACAATAATTCAGTGGATAGTGAGAAAAGTAGCGTTCCTCCAGCGCTCCAAGGGGGAGGGTTACTGATAACGAAGCAGCTGAAAGATCGCCTGTGACCACGGTTTAAAAATTCGAAAAAAAAAACAAATAATTTGGAACAAGTTCTAACGATTGAAGGGCGTTCGTGGGGGAAAATCGTAGAAGCATGCGAACGCCCATCGCTTGATGTGAGGGAAGGCGTGGTATGAGAAGCACACGAGGTTCGACACGCTACTCGGATGTGAGGGGGAGGGGGGGCAGGAAGGGGGTTGTTTGGAGGGGGTAGATTGGGAGGGTGGCGGGGACAGGGCAGGCGGGTGTTGGGAATGAAGCGAAATAATCCCCTCATGACTCAGCCCATCTGTCACCCCGATATCCCCTCCCTCTTCACCAAATACCTAATTCCCTTATGACAGCCAGGACACCCGGCCCCTTCCCCGCCCGTATCCAGCCCCACAACAATAAACTCGGGTGTCCCTTTACACAAGCGAGCTCCGACAGATGCCGTCCGCCGCCGCCGCCGCCGCTGCGATCCTCGTGCCTTCAAGAACCCCGTATCAATCACAAAGGAGAAGATTTTAAAGAAAACCTTGGCGCTATACAGGACGCTAAAATTCGCTTCAAGTCTTTTATATAAATAATGAATTCCAGTCTCGCAGAATTTGCGTCTTAACGCCGTCTCGCGCTACCATTTCTTCCCCTTTTCCACCAACCCGTTCGACTCCCATTTTCTGTCTCTACACTTCTAACCCTACCAAACATTTCCTTCATTTCGCGTGCGCTACACAGAGCCAAGGAAGAGGAGAGACGATGAAAGGAGAACAGGAAGGGGCGAAAGAGAAGGAGAGGAGGGATGGAGGACGAAATATACAGTGTGGCGGAGAACTTGATATCAGGGCTATAATTTCCAACTCGAAGAGTGGAACGGTGAATCTGCTAAGGGAACTGGCAGGGAGGTAAATGCGAGGGGGTGATATGACGGGTGGAGAGGTGTTGGGGCGCGGGGAGGGGAGAGGGGGCACGTCGCCACGCTGGCCCGGCGCCAACTCGCCTCGCTGCGCCCCGCCCACGCCGCACAGACAACACACTCGGCTAGAATTCCACTAAAAAAAGTTCCCCTATTCACCCCACCTAAGGCTTAAGGCATTACCTTGGGCCTTCATTATCCTCACCGCAAGTATATAACCACCCTCTTTCGACATTCCGGCTTCAATAAAGCCTGCGCTTCATC